GAAGAGCGGACTACTGAGAGCGGACCTAGAGATAGGAGGATCTGCTGGGGATCATGATAACAATAATATTAATAATGGGGCAATAATAAACTTTCCGAAGATTCTAATAGACGGTCCATACGGAGCACCGGCGCAGGACTACAAGAAGTACGACGTGGTGTTGCTGGTGGGGCTGGGGATCGGAGCGACTCCGATGATAAGCATAATGAAGGACATCATCGGAAACATAAAAATGGAAGAGGAATCGATAATAGTGAAGAGCAACAACAGATTGTCAGCGTCAGGGTTCAGAACGCGCAAGGCGTACTACTATTGGGTGACGCGAGAACAAGGGTCGTTCGAGTGGTTCAGAGGGATTCTGAACGAGGTGGCCGAGATTGACGAGAAGGGAGTCATAGAGCTGCACAACTACTGCACGAGCGTGTACGAGGAAGGAGACGCTCGGTCGGCTCTCATAGCGATGCTTCAGTCTCTTCACCACGCAAAGAACGGCGTGGACGTTGTCTCAGGCACAAGAGTCAAATCCCACTTCGCCAAGCCAAACTGGCGCCAAGTTTACAAGAGGATTGCTCTCCAACATCCCCACTCCAGAGTTGGTACGTAACATATACAACACATTTACATGAGTATTACAACTTCTGTGATCAAGCATGCATCCGTATATCTCGCTCGCTCTAATTGTAATCATTCAATTTACTGATCATAAAGCAAATATACACATATATTTGGCAGGTGTTTTTTACTGTGGAGCCCCCGCACTGACAAAGGAGCTCAGGCAACTGGCCTCCGACTTTTCTCACAAGACTTCCACCAAGTTTGAATTCCACAAAGAGAACTTTTGAATTACATATATATATATATACATATCTAAATCGCCTATAAAGACCTAGGCCTAGCTACCGTATACGCACCACGTGTTTTGTATTTTTTAAATACGGTGTGTACGCACGTAAGTGTAGATAAACAGGACTAGCCGTATCAATCTTTTTAATTATTTTCTTCCCGTGATGATGATCATGTATGACCATGCATCTAACATAACATTCATTCTTATCCTGAGTAGACAAGGATTGATTTGAAGAATACCGGCCACGCCGGAGAGGAAAGTTAAAAAGAGACCGGGGATTTGTCGATATATAAGTATTGATAAATATAAATGTTCTTTGTACTTCATTAATTTGTAGTAGCAACCAAAATAATATATCACAATTCATTTAGTACGAGATTTGTGTTATAATTTAAATTATAATTTATAATTTATTATAATATTTTTAAAATATATATATATATATAAATTAATAATAATTTTAAATTATTATTTTAAATTTATGAACTAAATATTTATTAAATTTTTTAAAAAGTAAAAAAAAAATATAAATAAAAATGAAAATGGAAATACAAACGGAAATGGAAGCAACGCCTAGCTGTCATGTCATGGAGGGTAAGAGTTGTACCTATCAGCTAGTGCTTAGTGATAAGGAATGATGGGAGCCACAAAGAGGGCTAAAATGTGGCTGATAATTGCATCCGCTCGCTTTTGTCTACAACCACAAGTACTACTACAGAACTATCAGAAGTCAGAACTATTTAAAAAGACGCGTTTATTAAATTTTAAAAGAGCAGAAAAGATAATGAGATTAAAAATAAAAGTTAAAAGTTCATTATTTTTTTTTTCTATGATCATTAGTCAACGGTAGATAAGTAAGTTAGTATTTATTTTCTTTAATAAGAAATAATACTAAAGGGCGTAAGAATTGATATTTTATTTTTTTTATTTTTTATATTATGTGAAGTCTATTAAATTTTTATTATTAATTTTTTAAGTAAATACGTCATTAGATATGGGATTAAACACTAATATTTAAAATTTATAAAGCGCAAAGTGGAACAAGAGAGTACTGGTCACAAAAATGTGCGTGATCTTATAATTCTTGCATTGGGTGGTTGTAATTGTAGTGGCTGATTCATCCAACTTCATTTGTCTGGAAGAATTGACGGCACACATCCAAATTAAGGCCATAAATCACCACAATATCACTGCGGTGCTTCAACCATTAAATCTACTTACGATTCCTTATTTTATTAATAAAATATGTTGAGGGGGTCGATTGTTGTGACCTGCAACTCTCCAAACAAATATACAATTAGCATTTAGACTTTTGAGCATAATTTTAGGACTTGCCTTGGAAAAATCAGTCTCCAATATGGTGCTAAATTTAGAATTAAATTTGACATGTTCTACACCTATGGTCAAGCATTCATTGATGTATTGACTTTTTCGTTTATTAATCTTCCAAGTTCAAATTATTTCAAAATAAAAGGTTTTATTTTATAAGTTTCAAAGCTTAATAACTATGAAAATAAATGAAATATAGTATTTGAAATAGTATTATCTATTGAAGCACAATGTAGAATAACACATTAAATATGTTATTTTTACATATTTGAACTTCAACATCAGAAAGTAATGGAGTTGATATAATTTAGACATCCTTAGGTTAATAGTAATCTTGATTATCTGATCGTTTGATGACCAAAGTTCATGAATGAAGGACTATGAGTCCCCTAAAATTAAAATGACTCATCATATGTGGCTTTATACATACATACGTACGTACGTACATATATGTATTAATACATATATATATATATATATGTGTGTGTGTGTGTGTGTGTGTGTGTGTGTGTTATGTCCAAATTAATGGAATGCAACTGTCCAGAACCTAAAGGGTTGACATCATGTATCCAATGTTGGCAGGATTAGTTATTTTGAAATATTAAGCAAACGACGACTTTGCTACTGAGTAGTTCACACTTTGACCCTATTTATGTATGCCCGTTGGTCTTCATTTGGGAAAATAATGAGAGATTTTCAACGCCGTGATACATTTGGATATAAAAGTAAAATTTGACAACTCGAAAGATACCGCAAACAAATTACCCTTGTGAGTTTGGTCTTCAGTCAATTTGAACAAATTACTCGATCGGCAACAATGTCGTAATCTAGATGTCATACATACGCGATGGAGATGGAGTTAGTTGAGAAGGCACTAAACTTTTATATTAGTGGCCAGAGTCTTGATTGAACCTCAGATGTTCCGCCTTTGAATAGGCCTGCCATCGGTGCTTAGTGGGTGGAAATGGAATGCCCACCACAATGCGAGATATAAGAATAGGAGAATTAATAGATAGATTTTAAGACTCTAATTATTTTAGTAAGACTTGATAGAAAAGTAAGAGAGAGATAATTCCCGTGTCTCTATTTTATACCTCTCCTTTTGGTGGGAGCTAAAAGCACAACACCGACCATTTCACCTTCTCTGCCACTGTCCATCTTGGTTCTTTAGGTAAACTCGCACGAGGCACTCACACGCTCAAATCAAGCAATTAATAGAGCGAATAAAATATTAAAATTTTTAATAAGTGAGCAAAAGATGATAAAATGAAAGTGTACTTATTTATACGAAAGATGACCAATCAAATGGTGTCTTTCCCTCGTTCTAATTGGGTCACCTCATCAACTTCATCTTCCTTAGGAATGCTCTAAAATCACCATTAATTTAATATAGAGAGTAATTCGTGTTAATTGATCGTGTTCGTGTCAACCCGTAATTTATTTGTTGTGCCGTGACTTAAATTGTCACTCCAAATTTAATATCTCATATTTAGAAACGGGTTTCTGGCCTCTAACTGTAGGTCCCTCAAACGTGCATATCAAGCCTCAGGGGAATCATATTTCAATCCCAAGAGGGTTCTTGGGGTCTCAGCGAGGAGTCTCTCTACCAAATGGAGGCCTTGCTTTTAATCCTTTCAAAAAGTAGTACCAACGAACATCTTCCCATTTTCTTTTCCTATTATCAAACATCAAACTATAATCTAAAGAATACTAAAAATTAGAACGGCAAGTTTGGGCCGGGTTAAATGGGCCGACCCGAGACCCGCTACTATTAGCATGGGCCTGACATTGCCCGGCCCTAAACTTTTTGAGTTTAGGGTTGGGCCTGGAGGCCCAAACTTACACCTCTATCATAAATTAACACAGTGATATTGAGAGAATTATCAAAAGAGTGTTTTGTATGAATGAATAAATAGGACTGAAATACAAAGTAGCAAAATAAAACCTTAATTAACTAATAATCATCAGCTGGATGACTTGAATACATAAGACGTAGAAATTCTATCGCTGATCTTTTTTCAAACTTGTGTGTTGGGAGTCTTGAAGACGGGCAGTTGAAGAGAGAGCGGAGGAGTAGTTTTTGATTCTCAAGGAAATAAGAATGCCGGAGACGATCCCAAGAAGGGGGAAAACATAAGACCAAACGGCGACTTTGTTTGAGCCGGACGCGGAGGCAACAGCAGCACCGGCGAGGCTGCCAATAGACGCGTTCTGTAAGATCATTGGCAGGCAGCCTACGATTGTTGGCAGCAGAAAATCGACAAGGAAGCCAACATTAGTAGCGGCCAACGCATAATTTATGACGTAGGAAGGCAATGGGGAGAAGCGAGCGAGGAGGACAAATCTCCAGCCGTCACGCTCGACTCCTGTGGAAAGGAGATGGAAGTATTTATTTCTGTGGGCCCACTCCATTGCTGAACTTGAACTCCTGAATATCAACCTGGAGACGAAGAAGAAGAAGAAGAATTCTCTTCTGTTAGAGTGATTCTATACGGAGTGGAGATTGGAGAGTAGAGCCGAGTTAGCTAACAAACTAACTAACTACTTTCTGCACATCAAACAGTCATATCTGAGGAGGTAGCTAACAAACTAACTAACTAACCGGAAAAGAGAGGTAATTGATCAGTAATTAGATTTGCATTCAGAGGAGGGTACAAATTATTATTAATCATTAATCATTATCCATTATTAAAACATAAGCGGAGCAGTGATGAGATCAGATCCACATCTACTGATCTACATTCGGGTTGGGAATTGGGGATACTCATAATAGTATATGCATAGATGGAGTCGTATAATCGTCGTCATCATCATCTTGATTCTTACATCTAAATCTATCTAATCTAATAAATCAAAATCCCTAAACAGTAAAAACTAACAATTGAACGCAATAGTACTCAATCAAATATTCTGATCTGATAATGATTCTAAATAATTATATGTTATTAGGAAATCAGATATAATAATTTTATTTTGTACCTGCCGATGAGGAAGGAGAGAGAAGCGGCGAGGACCTTGGCAGAGAAGACGCAGAGAACGCCGGGGAAGAAGCCAAAGAGGAGAGAAGCGGCGGTCTCAAAGAAGACGGCGTAGGGAAGGCAGAGTACCAGAGTCACCGTGTGGATCCCCACGTAAGCAGG